ACACACACACACACACACACACACACACACACACACACACACACACATTTGCACAATACTCTCTGGCGGAATGCCACAGGCGAATATTTTTCTCTGGTCCCTACTGTTCTTCACAGATCAGTTCCTGAAGACATTGTCCACGATGACTCAAGTGTGCTTCCAGAGACCGGCTTTGAGTCTGTCTCTCTGTTTCACTGGCAAGCTCTAGTGGCATCAGGTGCCCTTGGTAATAGACAAGACTCATTTCACACGGCAGCAGCATGTGTGACTCTTCATTTGACAATAGACCTCGAGCCTTGACAAGCCTTCAGGGACTAGAACAGCAGGCGACATTCTTTAAAACAAGCAGACCACGCTGTGATCCTTATGCTTTCAAGGTGAGTTGCTAACTTTTCAGGGTAGCTTGCTGTTCCCTTGCCAATACAGCTTCTCCTCTGCTTTTTTCTTTTTCCACCGGCAGAGGAGCAGCAGCTTAAAGGTCTTCCTGAAGGTTCTGTTGCAGAGAGCGTAGCAGATGGGGTTGATTGTGCTGTTGACATAGCACAGCCAGTAACCCAGATGCCACAGGGTGACAGGGACACACTTGTCACAGAAGGTGGAAACCAGGACCATGATGTTATAAGGGGTCCATGTGATGATGAAGGCCAGGAGGATGGCACTCAAGGTCTGGGCTGCTTTCCTTTCTTTGATTAGGACCATTCTCTTCCGTTTGGTCATTTGATGGTTGAGGTTGGGATCCAGGCCTTTTGTCGAAGGGTCTTTGGACATTGGGAAGGAACAAGGCATGATTTTCACCTTTCGACAACCATTATTAGTCTCCTGGGTCCCGTCAGCTTTTACCACCAATCGGAACTTATAGGCAACACACTTCTGACTCTTGAGTTTGTGAGCAGCAGCTGGAGACAGGAAGTACTTGGGAGCGTCATAGTCATTGTTTTCAGTCCGAGGGTTCACAAAAGTTTCCTTGGTCTCTTGGGTGTTGAATTCCTTCCCTGGGCTTTCCTTGGCTTCACTCTTATAGACCACTTGGAAGACAGGGTCAGTGGTGGACTTGGCTTCATCCTCTGAGGAGGGGTAGCTACTACAGTTAGTGACCTGCTCAGCCTTGTCCCAGTCAGCACTTAGGCCAGTGGCCTGGCTTGGCTTTTCTGTTGTTGAGGTGCTTCTGCGGGAGGATGACCAGGAAGCCTGATTCCTTTCTCTCTGGGCCAGGCTGGGTCTAGGGCAGCTAAAGAAAGATCTGAGCAGGGTCTTGTGAGCCGGTTTTCTCTTCTTAGCTTCTGCCACAGAATCGGAACCTTGGAGGTCAGCCAGGTCCTTGGTTCGCTTCTCTGTTTCCCGGTAGATCCGGCAGTAGAGTATGGTCATGACAGAGACAGGGATGTAGAAGGCCGCGATGGCAGTACCGAAAGTGATGGTGGGCTCAGAGAGGAATTGGATCTGGCACTCATCAGCTGGAACTGTCCGCTTCCCGACCAAGTACTGCCAGCAGAGGATGGCTGGCGCCCAGAGGATGAAAGAGACCAGCCAGGCCAAGCCAATCATGATGCCAGCCCTCTTTGGGGTCCGCTTGGCCCGGTATGTCAGTGGTCTTGTGATGGAAAAGTAACGGTCAAAGCTAATCACCAGAAGGTTCATGACAGAAGCGTTGCTAGCGACATAGTCCAGTGCAAGCCAAAGGTCACAAGCCAGACTCCCCAGAACCCAGCGTCCCATAAGGATGTAGGTCGTGTAGAGGTTCATGGAGAAGATGCCAATGATGAGGTCTGCACAGGCCAAGCTGAGAAGGTAATAGTTGTTAACTGTCTTGAGCTGACTGTTGACTTTGAAGGAGACCATGACCAAGACATTGCCCACAATGGTCATCAGGCTGACCACAGCCGTCACAGCTGCAATAGTGATGACTTCCCATAGCCCATGGTGTTCCAAAGCCTGGTGATTTACTGGGGTGCCATTGACTGTGGTGTCATTGCGGTAAGACTCCCCTTCCATTCTGGTTCAAGAAGTTACATTCAGATTTAGTCTGAGGTTCGGAGGGCTCTTTGTTTGGGTTCCTCTGTTCTTGGCCAGTTTCTGGAAGAGATAGAAACAGGTCAGTTCCACTCATCACCCTTCTGCTTGATTTCCTTTTCCATCCAGTGTTCATCGTTGCTAACGGAATATGAAATGTATGAAGAGCAAGATGCAGAATTTTTGAGCCTTTTTCCACCTTAGGAAATTACTAAGTTGATTATCAGAACGGTTGTTAGTGTTGAAAGAGTTAAGGTATGCATAAGATGAAAGACAAAATAAATTTTGGATAGCATTATAGGAATATATACACATTCACCATTGCATTGGATGACAGTATAATAATATATGTACATAATTTTACCATTGCAAAGTTCTTCTGCCTGATGAACAAGGATTGGATTTTAACTACAAAATTTTTTTTCAAGAGAATATTTTTTTCATTGAAAAATTCTCTGACATGTTTGTACATAAAAAAAAAAAAAGAATTTTGGTTATCTTTAAGCCTTATTGCCATCTCTTGTGTCTTTTCCAACTCCCACTGAAACCATTCTTTCAAAGACATCTCTAGACCTTTGGCATCATTCTTTTAAAAATGTATTAGTTCCTCGAGAATTCCATATAATGTGTTTTGATCATATTCACTCTAACCAAACTCCTTGTAGATCCATCCCCCTTCCCTGCACACCCAAGTTTGTGTCCTCTTTTTATTTTTTTATTTTTATTGTATTATCCAAAGCTTTTTAACAACCTTCAAATGCCTGAGCAGCTTTCATATCTGTGAAACTGCTGCCCTCTTGTGGTAATCGTTAAAAAAAGGGCTTCAGAAGATAAGGGAGCGATAAAAGGATCAAGAAGAGGGTGGAGGGTGGAGGGTGGGGATGTGGGATAAGAGAATGAAGGTAGGGTGGGGAATGAAGAGTGGGGTTGGTGGGGATAGGGCGGAGGTGGCGTGTGGGTGTGACAGACTTAAATACTGGAGATACAAACCGGAAACGAACGTCGGAGGTAGTGACCAGAGGCAGCAAGCTTAAAATACACACACTCAATAGGTTAAAAGTCAAGGAGGACTTCTATTGAAGGACTGTGTAAACAACAAAGTTTGTGACGTGTCATTTTCTTTGTTTGTTTTGGTTTTTGGAGATAGGGTTTCTTTGCTCTGGCTGTCCTAGAGCTAGCTCTGTAGACCAGGCTGGCCTCAAACTTACAGAGATCTGCCTGCCACTTCCTCCCAAGTGCTGAGATTAAAGGCATGCACCGCCACCACCTGGCCATTGCCATGTCTTTTTTAAAAAGGTGGCTGTTTTTAAGTAACACACATCTAACTTCTTTTGACTGGTAGAGAAGAAACACAGTACAAAGTTCATTTCAATTAAGAAATGACTTCTCATTGTCTCTGAAGCGATATTATCTGGAGCAAGATTTTTGACTGACAGGCTTTAAAAGCACAGTTTACAAGTGCGCTAAATGCCTTGGAGCATAAAAGAGATGCTTTAGTGCATGAATCGTGAGACTTAATCTTGTTCAGCTTTAAAGAACATCCAGGAAGAAGGTTCAGCCTTCGGGTCAAATCTTGGGACAGAAAGGTCTATTCCCAAGAATATTAAATGGCTGCACTGTCGCTGTAGGACAGGAAAGCCGGTGACAGTTTACATTTGAGGACTAAACGGGAGCCACTGGATGTGTGTGTATGAAGCTTGTCACCCAGACCTGGGGTGGGGCTGAGGGTCCTTTTTTTTCTGTTTCATGTGGCATTCCCAGACTTCTTGGAATATATAATTTTTCTATGTGTGTCACGTTATAAAAAAACAAAACAAAACAAAAAAACAAAAACAAAAACAACAACAACAAAAAACCTTGGAAGTATTGCCACAAGCAGATTTACGGGAAAATCTGAAAGTCCAGAATTCCTTGGCAGGCAGCAAACTCTTTCCAACAGAAGTAAATGCAAGGATTATGTCTTCATCTTTGCATCCTAAAGAAAACATGTTTTTGTACAAGCGATGGGAAGAAAATGTCTTGAGGAGGCAGCGATGAGTTACATCAAGCAAGGTTGATAAATCTAGTAAGATTTAGGACGGACACTTGAGCCTGGGTTTGGTCCCAAGGAGGTCAGAAGGCATTTTGGAAAGTTTTTTTTTTGGGGGGGGAGCTTTGGTGGTCTGGAAGCTATGTGGAATATAGGAAAGAGGGACCAGGAGAAGAGTGGGAGGAAGCTGAGCTAAGGTGACATCCATGGCTGCGTGGATGTCAGCGGACCAGGTTCCCGTGAGCATGCAAAGCCCTGGAGGCCAGAAGAGGGAGCCAAATCCCTTAGGACTGACGTTACAGACAGTTGCTGGAAATCAAACCCTGACCCTCCGGAAAAGCAGTCCTTCCTTTTTTTTTTTTTTTTTTAAGTGGAAATAAACTACATTTTCATGCTAATGAGAACGGTGCATTAGAAGGTAAAAGCTGGTGTGTGGGAGGGTATGAGAGAGTTTCTAGAGAGACATCGCAGGTATGTGAGCTGGCGTAGGACCTAATGTGGTAATGAAGTAACTGTCTGGGGCTGGAGTGGAGGTCCCGCAATGGTATCTTGAAGGAAGGTGGGGTGTGTGGACACTGCTATGAGCTGCCTGCGGAGTTTAGTAACGGCAGGGGTGAAAATTATCTTCTGACAATGTTGATTTTAAGAAATAGAAAGCCTGGTCACCAGCTTAGACTGTGTAGTTTAGGGATAGGCTCCATCAATTTTGAGGATTTCTCTAACCCTGAGCCCAGCCCTTGAAGCCCCTTAACATTCCATCATTGCCTGATAGGCTTCGCCTGTTTCTTCATCTCCAGCATAGTGTGGGCAGGAACTCAGGGCTCAGAGTCTTCCTTCTGTGACCTGTGAGTGCCTCTCAGTGGTAGATGCAGATGTTTAAAATACACAAAAATGAAAAGCCAGACCTGGTGGTACAGACCTGTGATTCCAGGTACTATGGAGGCTTAGACAGAAGGATGGACAGTTCAAGGTCTGCCTGGACTACAGAGTCAGCAAAAGGCTCCCCTGTGCAAAGTACTGAGATTCTGTTTCAAAAGAAAAAGTAAAAAGAGCAGATTTCTTTCTGAGAAGTCTTATCAATGTTTTCCAATTTTCTTTTTAATATATCAAGTGTAAGAAGGCAGCTAAACTATTTTAAAAGTCTGCCTGTAGCTATACCACTTCCTACCCATATATCCAAAATATGCTCAAGTACACAACAAGGACATTTGCTCAACCATGTTTGTAGCAGCTTTATTTGTAATAGCAAGAACCTGGAAACAACCCAGATGTCCGTCAACTGAGGAATGGATACAGAAATTGTGGTACATTTATACAATGGAATACTGGTCAACAATTAAAAACAAGGAAATCATGAAATTTGCAGGCAAATGGTGGGGACTAGAAAAGATCATCCTGAGTGAGGTATCCCAGAAGCAGAAAGACACACATGGTATATACACACTTATAATGGGGTATTAGTCATACAATACAGTACTGAAATCTGTACACCTAAAGAAGCTAAGAAAGAAGGAGGATCCTGGGTAAGATGATCAATCCTCATTCAGAAAGGCAAACGGGACAGAAATCAGAAGAGGGAGAAAATAGGAAACAGGACAGGAGCCTACCACAGAGGGCCTCTGAAAGGCTCTACCCAGCAGTGTATCAGAGCAGATGCTGAGGCTCATAACCAAACTTTGGGCAGAGTGCAGGGAATCTTATGAAAGAAGGGGGAGATAGAAAGACCTGGAGGGGACAGGAGTTCTACAAGGAGAGCATCAGAACCAAGAAATCTGGTCCCAGGGCTCTTTTCTGAGACTGATACTCCAACCAAGGACCATGCATGGAGATAACCTTGGACCCTTGAACAGATGTAGCCCATGACAGCTCAGTCTCCAAGTGGTTTTCCCTAGTAAGGGGAACAGGGACTGTCTCTAACATGAACTCAGTGGCTGGCTCTTTGATCACCTCCCTCTGAGGGGGGAGCAGCCTTACCAGTCCACAGAGGAAGACAATGCAGCCAGTCAGGATGAGACCTGATAGGCTAAGGTCAGATGGAAGGGGAGGAGGACCTCCTCTATCAGTAGA